TAACATCCATCGATCTGAGAGAGAGAGACGTCGTGGCCGGCCAGACGGACAGCACCGGGGCACCGACCTACGCCGGCTTCGAGACGCTCTCGCTCTCCTTACTAACTCCTGTGCACGCTGGGCGTCTGAGATCTCGTTTGCTCCCGTGGTTTCATCGCTTGTTTAGGTGGTTTGTCGGCTTTGCCGCTTGGAAAGCCCACGGGGCGATTTCACTCTTGCTTCCGGCCGCTCTGGCTCGTCGGGCGCTTCCGTGGTGTCGTCGTGTTGGGGTTGCGAATGCCGCAGGGAAGCGTTTGACTCCAAACGGACCGTGCTAACCGACTTCTTAAAATGCCATGGAAACGCTTTTAATACCAACAGGCTTTGCAGGATTTTTTCCGTAATTTTTTTTTTTTTTTCCCCTACGTTGTATCGATAGCTTTGGGAGCGCCCCGAGGGGTTTCAGCGGTAACGCTTTTTTTTTTTTTTTTTTTTTTGGCTTTTCGTTTGGTAAGAAACAGCCTCTTTGGACAGCACTTCGTTTCTCCAAACTGAATGAGTTGCTTGTCAAAACGCAAGTTGTTACTAACAGTGTTTGTAAAGACTGTGAAACAACACGTGAGAGGGAAACGAGATTACAGAGGAAATGCTATGAAAATGCTTTCCCGTGAGTTACTTGCGTTGCTAGGACTGGAGATCTTGGAAGCTTTTTCGTACTTAGCAGACAAAACCCAGCCGCTAACCTGGTCTACGTTAGATTTTTGCTTACAGTGGGATAATCAACATGTTTTGGGGTGCAACAGTATTGACCAGAATTCTGGAAATCCGCTTGAATTATCAGCGTTAACAATTCGTGTTCGCTGTAAAAATACCATCCTGCGAAATAGAAGTGAAGATACCTAAATTAAACTGCTGTCTGCCATTGAAATATTGCTATTCTCAGATAGTGAGGCTCAGGTGTGCCTTAACTTTTTTTGCGTGTTTGGTTGCATGTATATGGTACCTCTGTGTAATGAGAATATATTGCTAATGCCCTCTGTGGTCTGACAGCTGACGTCAAATTGTTTGTAGTCATGTCGCTACACACAGAACTGAAATAAGTTTGCAATAAAGTTCAGTTGCCTTCATGCTGAAAAAGTCCTGTAAGCAGCCACACAAAATATATTTAATGAAATTGCCACTCTCAGAAAAACAATTGGCATTACTATCAGAATTTTGTCATGATCTTTCTCAAGTGTCATTTAGACTGTATTTCTCTTACTGTCTCTTTTTCAGGAGACCTCATGGAAGGAGAGCTTTATTCTGCTCTCAAGGAGGAAGAGGCCTCTGAATCAGTTTCAAGTACAAACTTCAGTGGGGAAATGCACTTCTATGAGCTTGTGGAAGACACAAAAGATGGGATCTGGCTGGTACAGGTATAGAAATTGTACAAGTTATTTGTTTATATTTATCATATTCAAAATATGTTTCAAAGGAGGCATTTTTGAGGGTAGTTATGTAGTAGGAAGCGCGTGAGATCTAAGGAGCAACTCTGTTCAAAAAAGCAGGCAAGGCTAGAAATGACGGCGTTCCTGCGCGGGCAGGAGTAACACCTGTTATTGTGTGGATTGCTCTTTGAAAACCAGGCGCTTTACAACCAGAAGTGGGCATAGCAGCACATACTTAAGAATATGGTCTGCACAATATGGCCCTGATAGCGTCAGAGCTTGTGTTTTGTGTGTCAAGTGGGTGTGTTAAGTATTTGTGCTCCCAGCTGGCCTAGGAGAGGTGCCTCTGGTCTTGCTCTTACCTTGCGGTTGCTCCATGCGTTCCGTGCTCAGACCCAACCGGTTTAAGCTTCCATTTATCTAAGGGGCTTAGAGCAATTCTACAATCTCTGTTCTCCCTTCAGAGAGGCAAGATCTCAGTGTATTCCTTTCAGGGCTGTCAGGCTGATCCCACAACGTATTCCAGCAGCTTAAAGCTTACCTTTCTCCAAACCTTGTGGGCGCGTTGATTTTTAGCATGCTTCCCCAAGGATGCATGAGAATAAGTACATTTTGGGGGAGGGGGGAAAGACTTCTGCAAAAAGGATTCTGAAATAATTTGTCTTCACTCTTTAGAACGTGAGATAGTAATCTAGACAAAAAGGTAAAAAATGCTTTTCTGCATCAGTTTCTCCATTGATAAGAGATTTTATTTTTAGGTGCAAGTTCCCCCCTGCTAGCAGCTACACTGGGCAATCAGAATTCTTCACCAGACAATTCACTGTTTCGTTGACAGCTCTCTCCTGGACGAAATGCTTTGTCTGGTCTCCTCACTTCATGTTTTCTATTTAAGTAGAAGATTATCAAGATTTAAAGACTTTCTGTTATTAGACCTGCACTCTCACCACATCAGCTTTGACCCTAAAATAGACAACGAGAGGACAGATTACCTTCATAGTCCAAATAGCATTTGTATTTCGGGAGAGGTTTATTTAGTGCTCATTGAATCCAAGTTTCAGGTTTAAATCGTGCAGAAGGAGATTCTTCAACTGGAGAGCGAGCATTGAAAGGATGTTTACTTAACATCTCCAAGGCAGCTGATAAATACATGCATGAATATACTGTGAAAAATCTTCTCTCCTCCCCATGCAATTCAAAAGAATAAAATATGGTAGCGATATGTTGTTGGTAGCTTCCGGAATTTTAATCATAATACATTTTCAGCTAGTTTCATAACAGGAGATCAAATAGGCTGCATTTTTGATATCTCCTAGTGTGATGAATGTTGTCATCATTTTGGGAATATTTGAACAGCTATTCAGTTGGTCACAATATCTGTGAAAAAAATTTGAGTGGAATTTACTGAACAATTTACTCGCTGAATGCTGTTTGTCTGGTTCTCCATGGTAAAATATATGCTAGAAATGTCATATTTCTTTTTTTTCATCCTTGCCTTCACTCCAGTTTTCATCACTTTGAGTTTTCATTAGTTCCTTTTCTCTTCCTTCCCCTCCCTGCTCCTCTCCTGCACCGTATTCTTCATGTTCGTGTGCAGATTTCACCTTGCTGTTTTGTTATTCCTCTTTCCTCTAAAGCTTCTTCTAACCATCACTTCCCTGTTCTAGTTCCTTCTTACTCTCCCTTGCTCAGCCTGCCTTATCATTAGGCACGCCTTGGAAACTTTTGCATTGACTCGATGCAGGAGATAATATCAGAGTGAGGATGCCTTGTGCATAGATTCAGTGACCGTAATGAAGGAGAGAGCATTCCCTTGCTCTCCTGTTGCTGCTGGCTGGGAAGCAGAAAGGCGCTCCAGGTCCTTCAGGATCCTTGACCCTGCATTTCTCTTCCACACTGGCTGCTGGACAGCAGTAGAGGAAAAGGAGCAGTTCTGGCTCAGCTGACGCGGTGGTTGTTGCCTGAGGTGGTTTCGAAGGCTTTATGATGATGTATCAGGAGACAGGAACTCTGAAGATGGTTTTTATTTTCTAGTGATTCTTTCCAAGGCATGTAAAAGAAATTTCTAGGTGGCACAGGCCAGTAATGTGATCGCAAACCCTATCTGCAGAGAATCAGAAGATAAAGAGGAAACAGCTGTTATTTCTTGATATATTTGACACAAATTCAGAAGTGAATTTATCATTTAGAGCCAGCAAAATGAATTTCTTGAAGAAAGTCAAAGTCCGTGCATGAGGAAACAAAGTGTTTTGTGGCTGTGTTCCTTTATTTTCTGGAAACCTGCCTGGAAAACGTCCAGATTCAGTGTAATTTGTTTATCAGTGTAGCTGCTCACAAATGCCCTATGCTCCTAGACAGAGCTTCCATATAGCCACAGGCAGCAGCATGTTCTCTCTCCCATTAGCTCATGATCTCATCACCTTTCCTTTTATGCCTTGCTTGCTGGCTGCTGTTGTGGTGCCTCTTTGGCAGGTGAGGAAGATGAGAGGTAATTTCTGGAGCTGAGACTGGTGCTGCTTACCTTATTGGTAGAGGAGTAACACATGACTTCTTGCTCTTCCGGACTTGGGTATGGGTTATGCTCTCCAGTTAGTTTCTAGAAGCCTGTCCCATCCAGTACAGTGTATGACTATTTACCAACATACAATAAAGGCTCTGCAGATAAAAAAAAAATCCTCTTTGAATGAAGTTAAAATCTAAATGAATGTGTGTTTAAAAAACCCCAAAAAACAAAAAACCCCCACACGATCCCTATGATAACATGATGGTGGAGAGAAGCAAAGGGAACTTTCTTCCTGAATCTGAAGGAGGAGGAAAAGCACTTTCATCAAGTCTGGTAGAGGTGCAAAGGTCATTATTACGGATGCAAAATGTTGTAGTCCGTTCTGCATCCGAACTGCTTGTTTGAGTGGTGTAATCAGAGTGAGGGATGTGTGTTTGGTTTTGGTGATTTTCCTCCCCGCTCCTCCTTTTTGCTCGCATGCAGAGTGGGTAATTTTCATATTTGACTACTTATTTGTAATGGAAACAAGCAGTTACATGCAAAAAGGAAATTAAGTAGGAGCACTTAGCTCTTATAAAATACATTGTTTAGTATTTGTGTCTTCTCCAGTAGCCCTTCAAGATAAATTTACCATGGGATGCCCGATTTTAACTTTCAGTATCTTTCTTGAGAGTCTTCATATCCAGCCAGCAGTGTACAATACCATCAGCTAGAATGCAGTAGTTCTCGTATTGTCTGTATATCTTTTGTTAATTCATAATAGCAGCTCATTCATTCTCAACCTCTGCGTATTGAGATGACTTCACTAACTTGTTCAGATAGCTGTCTAGTTCCTCAGAGGAGGGGGGAGTCTATAGTTAAATTTTGACGTAGTTAATTTCTGCATGTTACGGTGGATGCAGTCTTTTGTCGCTGTCGTCACCCGTTTTGATATAATTTCTCACAATCTCCTCAAAAAAGAAAAGCAAAAAATGTCCAGACATGTTAAATCCACATGGATGGATTCTGAACTGGTTGTGAGTTCTTGGGAAATTCAGTTTTATCAGTGCAAGGTAGAATAACAAATGGAGAGTGCAATGTCTCAGGATTAGTAAAAATACAGAGAGTCGTGTAGAAACTATTGTCCTGAATAACATTAGTAAGCATTTTTCTATGCTTCTAATAAATAACACACCAGTCCATTTTTCAACGAATGTTTTCCTTAATGAGGATTGTCCAAGTATTTCTACTTCTGTTTTATCTACAGAAGGTGGGAGGATAGTTTGTAACATAAACAGTTAATTATAATGGGGTTCTATGAAAAGCACAGAGGAAACTTAAAAAATTGACCATTGTTTTTGCAAACTTTATATCTCTGTGGATCCCTAAAAATCTTCCAGTAAGTGCATGGGCTCTTTCCAGTGATGTCAGGCTTCCTTTGCTCATTTACCTTCTGCAGGCACCTTAAAAGTAGTTCACGGACCTCCAGGGGTCTGCAGCTCTCAAACCGGGAACTACTGAGCTAGGCTGACAATTCTCATGTACGTATCACCTTGCCGCTTCAGTAAATAAGTTAGAAGCGAGTTCTGCTCTTGGCAGCTCATGCAGGTTTTTCCAACTCGGATGTCTGTGCTCCTTCATGCAGTGCCTGACTCGCAAAGCTGGGTGAGGTGTGACTGCTCCTGGGAGAATTACCTGTACGTGTTTGCATGCAGCGGGAAATGGTGTCTCTTACTTTGTAGGTTTTGTTCTTCTTGATGACTTAAAACCTGTCGCAGTGCCCTGGTGCCCACTGTTAATGAGCACTTGGAGTTGTTGTCTTTGTGGCCAAGCTGTAAAACCAAGTTTTGACTATTGCGGTATATTCAAAATTTTGTGCGCTCTTGATATGAGCAGGTGTTCCTGACACCTGGTATCCTGGCTAGATTCCAGCTTAAATAGTATCTGAGCTTTCCTTGGCACTTTCATTTGGATACAGTTTTCTCTTTTGTAATGGCACATATTCATATCCCACAGCGGCTGAGAGATGCTGCCAATGTGAATGTTTTTCCTTCACAAAAAAAACGTATAGAAAAGCTCTGAGCCTCTGTTGTGTTGTGATCATTTTACAATTGTGCCTTTTTGCTTGCTTTTTTTTTTTTCAGTTGTTCCCCATCTTTGTTGCAATGTAGCAACTATTCACAAATAGAATGACTCTTGTCAAACTAGCGAGGCACAAGGGTTGTCAAATATGCAAAGTAAATAATTCAACAGGAATTTTTTCCCCATAGTGCTACTGAGGTTGCTTCAGGTTCCTGAGAGCGTTAGAACAAGCAGCATCTAGTTTTAAAGACTGATTTTAAAATGTCTTCTTAAAAGAGAGCTGACTTGCAAAGATGTTCAGGTTTTATGCAAAGTTATTCTTGCGTAAGTTGTGTGCAGAGTACTTGCGTTACTGCAAGTTGTTGGGATGGAGGCAACCTCTGTACTTGTGAAGTGCTGTTTTCGTTCAAGACAGCGTACCTTACCT